GGTGTGGCTTTTTTTGCGGACCAGCACCTTTCCATTTGCCGGGCCACTGAAACCGACATCTACAACCGACATACCACATAGTTGCACAATTAACTTCTCGAACTTCGAGGGTCAGTATGTTGCAGGGTTAGCTACTGTGATTTCTTGCGATCTTGCAACGGCACGAGAAGTGCAAAAACGCATAATCGCACCGGCCCGCCTGGTGCGTCCCAGCCTGGGTTTGTATTCAAAAATGAATCGAAGAGCGGTGAGTGGAATTTGGTGCAGGAAAATACCATATTCGCAAATATGTAAAAATAGTTTGGCCGATCATGTTGCAGCAACGAGCAACCTCGCCACTTTATTTGACCGGTGCTACTCGCTCAGTAGCCATCCTATGGGCTCTCCAGAGGTCCATTTCGCCTCGGAAAGGGTTACGAGCTCAGCTGCTTTTCAGACAGGGGCTTTCGCTAAGGCTCTAAACTTTTCGAGATTTCCTGTGCGTATGCGTACAAGTGTGTGCATATGCCAACAGACGTACATCGTCACGTTTTCGTCTCGAAATCACAATGAGTAGTTATCTTACCAATTAAAAGACGATGATGCTTTCAAGCAAGCTCAATGGAAAGCGTTGGCGTTGAGGGAGCGGGGAGGAGGGGACTTGAGAAGCTGCGGCTGCTGTGTTTTCAGAGCACTGAAATATTTTGTTTGAGAACAAGCAAAGTACTAGGAATGTTTGCAGACATCATCACCGATCAAGCGATTATCAGTACAGCAGCTCGGGCAACATGGGCATGCCAGGAGGGCCAATGAGTCGTGGAATGGGAGGCCGCGGGCCAATGAACATGATGAATGCGCTGAATGTGCTCTCGGGACAGGCTTTCAGCGAGACCGATCTCATGACCGACTTACCAAAGAAGAAGTTCACCGGTCGTTGCCGATTGTTTGTTGGCAATTTGCCGAACGATTTGAAGGAGGACGAGCTCAAAGAACTCTTCTCGCCTCACGGAGACATCGCAGAGTGCTATCTCAGTGGCAAAGGCTTTGCGTTCCTCCGA